ATGTGCCATACATACTGCGCTGCTCCAGCTAAGCTCCTCTCTACAACCAACACGCGCAGTGCTGTGTATTTCTCCCTCTCTCTCTCTCTCTCTCTCTCTCTCTCTCTCTCTACTGCGTAGGCAGCTCTCCCTAGTAACACTAACAGTTAGGCTGTTATATAATATGGGCGATGATGACATAGAAGTAGCTCTGTGTACGCGCAGTGTGTATTTATGTCTGACGTGCACAAAGTACAAGCTGTCCGGTAGAGTGCCATTCAGCCGAACACTGGCTTTAACCTTCGAGTCCCCTGTAGACATATATATATTACTAACGTCGCTCGTGAATAAAAGAACGGGGGAGGGTCTGTCGGTAGTACCGCCACCCAGCTTGATGGCGAATGTTTTTTCGACCTTGCACGTCTTTTATGCTGGAATTTCGCGTGTCACGGCGTGGTAATGGTCTGCCTGCCGTCTGACTGAAGACGCGTGAGTTGGCTTACATATATATATATGCTACCGTTTCGTTGTTGGTCCTTGCAGCCAGTTGCTTCCAGTCGAGTCGGCTCGCAAGCCCGAAATAAGCCCCCCTTTAGGTGCAAATTGAGGTGGAAAATTGCGGTGAACTAGTTTTAACTCGTGGTTCGACTGCGTGGATGCATGGTACGCGTTTAATCGATGGGTAGAAAGTAGAAACAAAGTATCTATTTTGCACTGTCAGCTTGGTAGGAAGTTCGACGTGCACTGTATTAAGCTGCCGTTTACACCACAGGCACTTGAAGCGTTTCAACTGTAAACACACGCCGCCGCCATTGCGCGCACACTGACACATAAATATATAGATATATATATTTTTATATATTTATGTGGCAGTGTGCGCGCAATGGCGGCGGCGTGTGTTTACAGTTGAAACGCTTCAAGTGCCTGTGGTTTACACTATCATTTTTAATAATAAAAAAGTTGACAGAGTTGAGTGAGTTGATGAATATTCCCAACTAAACATAGACAGCGTAAACGTAAAAAGTTGAGCGCTTAACTGGTTGCTGTCATCTAGTCGAGGGGGGAATAGAGCATATTTTGAATGTTTCTAGTAGTACGTTGAAAGGTTGATCCTCTATCTTGGTGAAGTGGCTCCTATCAAAAATTGAAAGCTAAGGTAATGGATAGCACATGGAAAAAAGTTTGGTGCTTTTATCCACAATGTCCCCATCATTTTGTTTAGCTACTTGAGTGACTAAGAGCTTGTGAGGTAATGTGTAACTGTAAGCCCCGGCTTAGAGCTCTGTCGCTCACCAACAAATGCTAACTCATCGCGATCTTTGTGTTCTCAGGTGTTCACTACAAGACGACGACGATACTCATGGATGGCAAGCGAGTCAAGCTGCAGCTATGGTGAGTGAGTGCATGTATGTGCGTGCGTACGTGAGTGCGCGCGTGTATGTGTGTATGTGTGTGCGTGCGTGAGTGCGTGCGTGCGTGCGTGTGTGTGTGTGTGTGTGTGTGTGTGTGTGTGTGCGTGCGTGCGTGCGTGAGTGCGTGCGTGAGTGTGCTAACCATACACCATGGCATAGCCAAGTCCAGAGCCGACCGATTTCGCTGTTAGTCGTAACCCGACCGTTCTGCTGGGTTGTGTATTCTTTTGTCGGTTTGGTTACATGAGACTACGCTGCTAGGCGTGTCACAAATGGGCGATAAAACGTGCCTACCCGTCAACCCGCCCCTGAAATACCGATACACCCCGGGTACGTGTGACACGTACCCGACATCAGAAATCCTATCCACACCCTCGGCGTATTTTATTGCTGTCAAAATCTTGTGTCGGATGTATGGTCGACAGGTTCTGTCGTTTATCACACTTTGCGATAATGCAAACGGTGATTTGGAGTCCATTGATGCGAAAATGGTGCGAGCACACGTCTACATTAAGCTGGGAATACTTGTCGCGGTTGCGTGATGTCATGTTGTTATCGCGATATATCGCATATCGATCAAAAACGGTTTCAAACTTGTAAGTGGTGTCAGCAAAACTCTCTCGGTTCAATTAATTTACGACACTATATTCTATTTTGATTTCAATATCACACACACAACATTTAAATCCCAATTCTGTGTATATTA